TTGCCTGTAATAATTTTTTGCTTTATCATGAAAAATAGCACCCCCTCTGGCCAGGGCTAGGGGAGTGCACAGCTCCCCTCCCCCCCAGTAAATCCATCCCTGTTGCAACATACACTACAAGAGCTAGAATGATTGCTTCCTTTGGATGATTTGTCTTAGAATTATATTACCTATATTACAACAATTCTTCCTATTCTGAAACCAGTTGCTATTCTGTTTTTTACAACACTCACCCCCCCCCAAAAAAAAAAAACTCAACAAATCAAGGACCCCCTCCAAGGCAATTTTGCCAGCAAAATAGATTAAATTTGATGGTAATTGTTCTGAGAACATATTAACTCATTGAGTGACAGCATTCTGCCTAGACTTGCCACAAGTCGACCTCGAACGAAACGCAAGCAGCGAGTGTGAGCCGACGTTTCGTTCGAGGTACATTCTGCCCTTGAGTAAAATTGTCTGGCACCAGATGGAGTAATATACTAAAGTAGGGACATTGCCACTATAAAGGGTTAAACAAAAAGCTCAATTTGTAAATTTTAATTGACTTTAATTAAATTAATATAACTACTTATACTTATAGCTACCTTGCCCCAGTCACTTCAAGTAAATTCTACGGGAGGAGGGGGACATTGAAAATCCCTGGGTTTACTTGGTAAAAGCAAGAATTGAACCATGCATTACATGTATATGGAGAGCAGTTTTAAATATATTTTATCATGCAAATACCTTGATAATTGTTCTTAAACGTCTTTGGCTTAGAATGGGTACACCCTCCAAAGGTGTTTATTTACAGGGTCCAAAGGTGTAAATATACACTGTCCAAGGTGTTAATATAAACAACAAAAACAATGTATATAATTAAATTTTATTAAACAAAATGTGGAATATTTTACAAATTGCATTACCATCCCAAAGTGTACATAATTTATCAATATAATTAGGACTTAGAAGCTGTTCACATGAGTTTGACTCTGACCAGCACCCTTGGCTAGCTCCCCTTGCCCGATCACAAGTAGAAAACCTCCACCACCTCTGACAAATCAGTCCAGATCTGCCCAAGAGGCAGGGTTTTCTGGAATATTATTAGCAGTGATATTGTTGCATATTTTCAAGCATGCATTGTAACCTGATTTTAAAGCCTGTTTGAACATCAGACATTGTGGCAATGGCAAGATGGTCCAGCCATATGAATACAATCTTAAAATATCATAAAAACAATGCAATTTAAGGCCAGACAGCCCAACTCCTGCGAACAGCCGTTTATTACACATTCGAAGCATCTCTTGAGGCATCAAAGTACTGTACATGCAGGCACATGGAATTACATACGAGTATGTGACATAAGCCCACCATTGCACAATTTTGTCTGCAACAATGGAAATACAACAAATGCAAATACAATCAAGCTGGAAACGGATTTTATCAGTATTTTGATATATACATTATGGCTCATGTCTAAAGACACCTGCACGTACAGGCTGCACTTTCATATTGAAATTGTTCTAATATCATCCAAACAAAACACATCAGAAAACTGTAACAGCCAAATGAGCAAATCACTTTTTTAACACAATTTATGGTAAAATGAAGCAACATGTAATAGTATCTGAAACAAAACCAAATCACATATTATTCAAAGTTGTAAACACTGTTGCATATATGATATAACAAAATATCGTCGCATTTCTAGTGGTAACTAACTATAAATTAGGCCAATTTAAACTCGACTATGAAGAATATCAAAAACTAAAGGTCATGTTTCAGTTTATAAACCCAGACTTTAGTTTTATAAATATAAACATTTATAAACGCTACACGAAGCCAAATATGAAGGCACATTTTGCCCTAAATACTCGGTCAGAGCCTCAGAGGTGTGTTCTAGTACACAATTAATCTTCTCTCACAGTTTAAAACAAACAATAATACTAACCTTCGACAAATTGTGTATAAATCTTATCGAATTTAACCATTTTGCCACAGATTTTGCCAAAAATATTTCTTAGACGGACAAAGTATTATAATAATGGACACTCCTTGCATGAAATGTTAATTTATCCCAAATTTTGAATAAATTAATCCAAGATTGCATCATTTGCATAATAATGTCTTGTCATTGACCAATCAGAATACATAGAAGACCGGCCGGTGCCAGGGCCTTTTCCCGCCTTCCCAATGACAAAAAGGGAAAAGCCCTGGGAACGAGGTTGGGGGAGGAGGGGAGTATAGCACTGAAACCAAGATCGCAAACACGAAAACGAGGCTCTAGAGGAAAGGCGGTGCGCTCTCCGAAAGGGTGTATTCACTCACATCATATGGTATAACGTAAATGAGTTTACAGTATTATTCATATTTGTTATTAGATAAAAACGGCGGCTCAGGTCCTAGATTGGAAGCTCTCAATTGTATGATGGAAAATGGAAGCGAAGCGTGTATAAGTCATCCAGTAGCTGTAAAGTTTGTTGACGTAAAATGGCGAAAGAGAGGATTCAAATACAACTTAGCTTCAATAACTCTGAGTATGATCTTTCATATTTGTCTTATGATATATACAACACTCGTTATTGGTGAGGTGAAACAGATCAGTGTGGTAAAGGGTAAGTAATTATTAGTAATACACATGTTATATAAGAACGTTTTTGATTGGCTAAAATGCGTATTTTGAGCACGGCAAAAAAGCACGGGAAATCAGGTTTGTCTCTTTATTGAAAAATATTTCCTCCAGAATGTTCACAAAACTTTTCACTGTTTTAATCAATAAAATATAACTTGTTGAATAAAAACACTCGGCTATTTATTTTTTACATATAATTATAATTGATTTATTTTAACCAAATCATGTGTAAAAATCCATGTTGAAAGACAGCTGGTTTGAAGCTTGTACTCGTAATTCGACGAGTTTTTGCCGTGTTTACCATAATTAACAATTATTCGCCGAAGGCGAGGTGATTATCGGTGAATAAAAACCGAGACGAAGTCGAGGTTTTTATTCACGATAATCACCGAGCCTGAGGTGAATAATTGTTTTAGTATAATTTCATAGGTGATTATATGGAAAAAATAAAAAAATACACATCTCTTCGTCATTTAATTGACAAAAAGGCTTCGGCCGCCATTTTGAAAATCGCTTAGGTGATTATCGCGTAATAATCACCTCAACGGCAACCAATCAGCGTGGAGAATTTTCAATAATCACCTATGTAATTATACTAAGTAAGAGTTAATTACCGAGAACGAGGTTTCTTAGCGAGATACAACCCGAGGGGCGTGTCCCGAAGAAAGCATCCCGAGGGCCGTAGGCCCGAGGGATGCTTTCTGAGGGCAACGCTCCCGAGGGATGTATCTCGCTAAGAAACCGACGTTCGAGGTAATTAACTGACTTAGTTCAAATTTGTAAGGATTGAAAAACAATTAAATCTACTTTTTTGTCGAAAATACTTGCATTGAATTAAGAGAATAACGATTGTTACCATGGGGTCCATATGAAAATGAGATTGAAACGTGAACTACCTATGTAGCGACGAAAAAAATGCTTCCAGGCAACCGGAATCAGATGAAAATGTAGGCTTATGGAAAGAGAATTTTTGCAAGCAAATGACGAACCATTGGGATTTGCAGTGCTCAAACTAGACAGAGATAAACAAAGAGTTTTGAAACACGCGTATTGAGCGTATACCGAATATACTGTAGGCACAAGACACAACACCATCTGGGCAGTTCGATCGTATTTGGAAAGAGTGGGCCGAAGGTAGAAGCGCTATAACGAACAATATGTGTATGGGTTTGTCGAAGCAAAGATTCTAAATTTGTTTTCAATAGGGTTTTATTTGGGTAAGAATCTAAAAGCAAGTGGAGGGAATTTGACATCTCTATAGGGAAAAGGGGGGTTGATGAATAGAATTCAATTGAATTGATGATTAAATATTCACCAGGTTTTATCTAAGTATATAAAACCTGATTTTTGCGGGTTTTTATATATATATAACCCGCAAAAATCCGGGTTTTATATAGATAAAACCCGTGAATTTATAATTATTAATTCAATTCTATTCATCAACCCCACTTTTCCCTGGAGAGATACCAAATCCCTCCCCTTGCTTTAAGAATCTTACCCAAATAAAACCCGACTGAGAACAATAGAAATCCGCACAAATTTGAACTAACGTTCGTTAGAAAGGTTTGAGAAGAAACACACTTCTAAAACGGCAAAACTGGTCAACTGATCCTACATTAAAATATGTTAAAGTTTGCAAGTAATCCAGTATAGGTGGTAAACCAGTTGCAAAACAATTAAATGAAAAATTCAAATAAGAAAAACATAAAAAGAGTCAGACCACAACACAATGATTAGTTTAGTGCATACATGGAATATATGATCGACAGTCCTACGCCAGATGATTTTCTGCCAAGAAAGTGTTGAGTAAAACCATATTATTCGATACTTACGACATTAAGACAATGAAATATATTAAATGAAGGGCAGTCGCTTAGCGGAAAAGAAAAGTGAACAAGAACGATGTGGAAGATGTTACATTAGGCAAGCTGCTTTTAAAGAAACGATAAGTATGGGAAATCCTGAAGTGTATAGGGTAAATTTGTTTTTTAAAACAGTTTATGTTTGACTTTGCTGTTCATTTCTGACCCTGAACATGCAGCTTTCTTTTTCATTGTATGTGAAAGTTTCTTCGAATTTATTTGTTTTATTTTTCATTGAAGCTCAAAAAAGGAGAGCAAATTATTTTCGTGAGTGACCTGATGAATTTAATTTATTTTATTTTAAAGTATGAGTAATAAGTTGAAGAGTTTATCGGCAAAAGCAGTTAATTTCACTGAACATTTAAAAACATTTTACGAAACGTTTTGTATTGAATTTGACATTAAAATAAAATCCATAGAATGCAAAATAACATACGTACTTTATATATAAATCGATAGTTCTATACAGTAGAGCGTTTGCACATGACGTCACAGCCGCAATGCATGTTGGTGTTCCAACTCAAAAGAATTTTAATTAAACTCTTCTGTCTGGAACACCAACATGGCCGCCATGGCTTTTGTTGAGTTGGTCCCTGGGGGATGAGTGCAAGCGCTCTACAGGGTGTCCCCCCAAAAAACTATTGAAAAAGCGTATTGTTAGAATTTGAATGTCTCAGTACATAAAAGCTTGACATAAGTAAATTTTATGCACAAAGAAACTGTTTAAGAAGCTGCATTAAACTCCCAAAAGCAGAAAATCGTGCGCTTTACAAAGATATTTTAATTTCTTATAAGTCAATATTTATAATTTATTATATGGCAAGCATTTGTTTTGATGAATCGCGCAATTTGATTGGCTGCTGACGAGGCAGGATTTTCCCGTATTGCCCACGGGCAATACGCAATTTTTATTGCCCTGCGACGAGAGCCGAGTTTCAAACAGCAAAAAATGTCTAAAAGTCTTTCAAAACTATTCAAAACGAATAAAAATAAACCTAAAATAAAAAGAGGATCAACTGCTGTGGTTAAAGAACTTTCTCCATACGTTTTTGTTAGCGAAAGTCAAAATTACAAGGTAAATTTTACAATGTTTATAACTATAAAAGCAGTCAGGAATAGTTGTGTTTTGACTATGTGAAGAGCTGCAAATTTTATTAGCAGATAGCCAGGAGGAATTTGACACGTAAATAAAAAATATACGACTAAAGCAGCCACAGATTTATAATTTTTCCCTGAAAATTTCTGTTTTTGTTAGATAAAAAGAGACATAAATATGAGATGAAGCGAACTAAAAACGTTCTTGTTTTTGTAATTTTATTGAATTTTATTGTTTTCATATTTGTTGTCTTTGATTAAATGACGAAATACCTCGTATTTTTCTTGAAATACTATCCAAAATGTGTTAGTATTCTATATAAAAAGTACTGTACAGTATGTGGCCCAGTTTCGGGTCATTTCAGGTTTGAACTGCTATATCTTCCTTTTCAGGAAAGGTACGATTTTTAAATGCTCACTTGAGAATAGGTCAGGTGTTTCTTAACAATATTTCAAAAGATTGACTTTTCTTACCTTTCACTTCTAGAATTATTTATATTTTTAAGAATCATTTTATGTGCCCAGTTTCGGGTCACCTGCACCAGTATCGGGTCACTTCAAGTTTCTTTGTTTATTGTATAAAAGCGTTTGTTTTACGGCAATTTTCGATCATTTTTTATAGTTTCAACATGTCTTAAGTTATTAACCACTTTTTGGGAGGTTTTAACAAAGTTTAGACATTATATTTCCAGCTTGAAACTACCTCTTCTACACAGTTTTTGCGGAGTGCGTTCTGCCACAGAATAGGAAGTTATACCAGAAGCGTAACTCTAGTCGTTTCCCTTATCCACGAAAATTTTAACTCGCTCACGTCAGGCCACGCCATCCTGGCTAGTACAGCCGGAAGTTTTTATCAGGATTTGGTAGGTACAAAGTGCCGGTTGTACTAGCCAGGATGGCGTGATTGATGACGAATCGCTTGTAAAAACGCGGACAAATACTTGCTCGAGTTACGCTTCTGGTATAACTTCGTATT